ACTGGAATAAAAACAATATTGTTAACATGAAAATATGATTTTATGTTCGTTGTTTAGAGTTATTCTAAGGCTTTACTCATTGGGAACTCGGTATGAGATAGAGCACACTGTTGAGATGTCCAATCTGCCTGTTTTACACACTTTGACCAACAGGGGGTTTGTGTTCAAATGAAGCCCATGATAAAGCCTCATGAGATGAACCCTTTTGCGAACCAATTGTCTGGAAAGCTTCAAAGCTTCATAAGGCTTCATTTCGCCATCACTACTCTCTTCTGCTGCTGCACTGGAGCTTTTAAGCACTTCCTTCTCCAGGTGCACCTCGTCTGAACCTCGTTACAGCAATGCAGCACACCTGGATAGAGGAACCAAAGGGAAAGAGAAACAGGGGTTTGGTCGGATAATCCAAAAATCAGATCCTATAGTTTAACCCTATCGTCTATTCCTTGACCTGAGTGAAACGTCACGGGTTTAAGGGATAGTCGATAGGAGAATTCAAAAGGATTTAGGGTTGCGTTCAGATAATCCAAAAATCAGCTCCTAAATTCTAACCCTATCTCCTATTCCTTGACCTCTGAGTGAAACGTCACGGGGTTAAGGGATAGTGGATAGGAGAATTCAAAGGACTTAGGAGAAGAGACCGCGGTACTTTAGAGAATCCGAATGCACGTTCACTATTTTTTCACACACAGTGACGTCACGAGCTACCCACAATGCAACACGCGCCATATAAATATATATAAATGCGCCATTTTCCTGGAGGTGCTAATATCCTGGAAGTGCAAATATAAACAGCTAGCTAACTAGCCAGGCAGAGCGCAGTAGGTTTTTTTTCTGAATTAACGACCGAAGAAATCGCTGCATGTCTTCGGATTACATCTCTGGACTTGAGGGGTGTGCTTTAGGTCGTTACCAGCGTAAACTAGAGCTGTGTGGGTTGTTACAGACTGCCTGCAGATGTATGGAAAAACGAAAGTGGCCTTCGGCGATTTTGGCTGCATCTACGTCTAATTTCTGGAAACACCAGGTGAATACCCCACTTGTCACAATAATATTATCATGCCATTGCATATATGTGGTATTTTAGAGTTGACTAGATATTGATTAAGGCAATAGACTATGATATTCAGTACAGGAAGCTTAGCAACACATAGACGGTGTACGGCTGCTTGCACCTCGCGTAAAACGGCGCAGACCGGAAGTACGGTGTCGCGCTCGGCCCAATACCCGTATGTGTGTGTGAAAGAATCCGACGTGTTTATGATGCGCCAGCGGACGTCATGAATGTGTGTCTGCTGCTGTGGAGAAACTATGGAAACTACAGTTTTATATACAGCGGACTACAACATGGATGTTTAATAAGAACGAGGGACTACTGTAAACTCATCTAGAGACTCTGCACCATGCTCTGATGCTGTTGTTTTATGCTTTATGAACGTGGACAACAGAGAAACATATTCTTCATGACCAAAGTTGGAATTGAAATAAAAAATGAAAGTGAAACTTATGCTCATCACCCTCTCCCTCCGGTCCACATTAATACAAATGATCCCAATACGTATGATTGTATGAACTATGAAAATATCTTAAAATAACTATTTATTATAAACGTTAGTCCTTAACATCTATCACTGTGTATATCACATTCAAACATCTTTTAAAAGTTGAACAAACCCCACACAGCTCAGTAAACACTGTGAAATGTTGACTTTATTTGATCATTTCAGTAAAAACTAACGTTCACATTTCTCTTTTTTATTATAATACTGATGAACGTTCAAAACAAAGCACTTTGGCAACTTACCACATACGTTTTAAAATGCTTAATAAGCACCGTAACTTTCATGATATAATTTCTCGGTCATAATCGGTTGTTTCCGTGAACGGCCGACTGTTGTGTGACGGCAAATGCTGCGGCTGCAAGGCATTGTGGGGCAGCATTTCCTCCTCTCCTTTCGGTGAGGGAGGTCCAGTGGTTCCTATGCTAAAGGAGGTTATAAAGGAAGTTTGAAACCTCCTTTCCTATCATCTAGAGAATTCGAACCGATTCGAATGGCACTGCCACTGAGGGACTTCCGGGTCATTTCACTCCGTTAGGAAGGTTCCTAAGCTAAATGGACTATTCGACTTCAGCCAGGGAATACATACAGCCGTAACAAAAGTAATTTATGTTGTCAAATAAATGGAAAACATGTCTTTTTTTTCTTGTTTCCAAATTGAGGAGCAGGAGTATACAGTAAGTAAGCAAAAACAATTATAACTAAGTTGTAGTATATATTACTTAGTTATTATTGAGTATATTTACTCAAGTAATGTACTTAAGTACAATTTAGAGTACTTGTATGTATGTGTAAGTATTTTTATGGTAATATGTATACTTTTATTCACTACGAAGCAATAGCCTACTTTTTACTTATACTGAATGTATCTGCAATATTTTAGTTTAGTGACTAGTTACTTAGAAAGTTCATATTATAGGAAAAATAAATCAACTAATGACTTATGATGTACTATTATCGATTGTGATACCTGGTCGTATACAAAAGTAATTCATGTTAGCTCCACCTTCAGAAGTAAAAGTTCTTAATATGCACAGCTTGTACCTATGTATTGTATACCTTGTACCTTAGGTATATTTTGATGGTAATACTTGTACTTTTGCTTAAGTAACATTTTGAATTACATACTTTTACTTGTGGGTATTTTTAGACTGTGGTATTACTACTTTTACCCAAGTCAAAGTTCTGAGTACTTCGTCCACCACTGCAAATGATGTATATTTAACAGTATGCAGAGCTGTTTGTCAGTACGACCACCGAGAGCAGCAGTGAGCTTCCGGCCTGTTGCAGCCAGCAGTATACGCCGAAGAAGATATCGCGCGCGCTGTTGTTTTCCCAGATCTAGATGAGACATACAAAAAGGTAAGCTACGGTGTGGGATTAAAAAAAAAAAGTATCTACAAATGTGTTTGCTAAACCTTTACAAGAGAAAAGGCTTCATGGTCGAGGACTAACCGATGAGTTGGGCGGGTGTGTCGGGCGGATGTGTCGTAGGCTCTGTTATCATGTAGTATGTATCTTTAGCATTAGCAACGGCTAAAAACAATCTGAAAAATCTGTTTTTCTTACATTAAAAGTGTATTTAGCTTGTTTCTACTAAAGCAATGATATGTATGCAGACTTTAACGCCAGGTATTTTAAATGATAAATGTTGTTTTACTAAAGACAGGAAACAAAGGGAGCTGTTTTGTTCCAATACAACCCCCACCTTTCAGCACCATCTCCTGCCAAAATGTATATCATGTTTTCATTTTCTAGATACATTTTTACCTCTAGAAAATGGCAGACAATAGTAAAAATGCTCAAGTCCAAGGAGATGTGTGTTAATGTCTTGTTTTGTCAGTCCAAGACGAGTGGCGGTTCTAGACCAATTTGACTGGGGGAGGCCAAGCATTTTCTGAGGAGGGCACAATAAATGCAGGACGAAAAAGACAAAGACAGTGTGAAGTAATTGCGCATAAGAAAACAATGCAATACAGTTATTGGTATTTGTTTCATTACACATTATTATATGCTTACCTTTAGGGCTGCAACAAACGAGTAATTTGATTATCGATTAATGAAACGATTAGTCGACTATTATGCCTTGCACAATTTCTCAAACGCTCTTATTTAGCCATCGACTTTTAGATTTAGCTTGAGGTTGTTTAGGCATGTGGAAACTAACAATGAAGACAATAAAGATGAATACTTAATTCAAAAATACATATATTATTACATTAACAAAACAAAATTAACATTGCTTTTTATTTAATTAAATAAATAATATTTCACATCAAAAGAAACAATATTTTAACAAATCGTATTAAATAATGTGATAACAGAATTGTAAACAGAATAGCTGACACTTTAACAAAATAAATAACTCAGTTACCTCTAATAATCTAGTTACCGCTTTCCATGTTTGTATAATTGTGTTAACTGCGTGTGTTGCTGACTTGGAAAAGTTATTCGTGGATGGGGGGACTACAGAGCTACTAAAGACAGTCGAACCCGGTGCATCCCTCCGTCTGAATGTGGTGCACTTTTGCTAAATGTTTAGACAAATTGCTCGGGTTACCGCCCTTACATGCTAAACACTATTGGCAAAGATCGAAAATACATCATAGACGCATTTTCTTTTCTTTTTGCATGTTAGAAACGAGTTGGCGACACTAAGACTGCGATATTATTAAGCATTTTAAAACGTATGTGGTAAGTTGCCAAAGTGCTTTGTTTTGAACGTTCATCAGTATTATAATCAAAAAGAGAAATATATTTTATTTTGTCAACATTTCACAGTGTTTTCTGAGCTGTGTGGGGTTTGTTCAACTTTTAAAAGATGTTTGAATGGTGATATACACAGTGATAGATGTTAAGGACTAACGTTTATAATAAATACATTTGTATTGATTTTAAGATCTTTAGTTCATACAATCATACGTATTGGGATCATTTGTATTAATGTGGACCGGAGGGAGAGGGTGACGAGCATAAGTTTCACTTTCCTTTTTTATTTCAATTCCAACTTTGGTCATGAAGAATATGTTTCTCTGTTGTCCACGTTCATAAAGCATAAAGCAACAGCATCAGAGCACGGTGCAGAGTCTCTAGATGAGTTTACAGTAGTCCCTCGTTCTTATTAAACATCCATGTTGTAGTCCGCTGTATAGAAAACTGTAGTTTCCATAGTTTCCCCACAGCAGCAGACGCACATTCAGGACGTCCGCTGGCGCATCATAAACACGTCGGATAGTGAAAGTGCAGTCGGATTCTCTAAAGTACCGCAGTCTCTTCTCCTGAGTCCTTTTGAATTCTCCTATCCACTATCCCTTAACCCCGTGACGTTTCACTCAGAGGTCAAGGAATAGGAGATAGGGTTAGACGTTAGGAGCTGATTTTTGGATTATCCGACCGCAACCTCGGACTAAGTCTGTGCACTAACCAGGGAGGCCAAAGTCTATCCACGGTCCTCCCCTTCTAGTCTCAACCAACCATAAATGTGCGGGCAATGCCCTGAATAATAAAATGTATGTGTGCAAGAGGTTCAAGGCTTTTTCCGGAAATAGTGGTTACAGACTACGGCTCTGCTGCCTGTGATTTCTATGACCTGACGGAGTCCTTTGCCAAGTGACTACCAGTATATATTTTTGCTCTTTTATTAAATAGTTGAATTTAGAAGTTGTTTGTCTTTCCTGGAATAAACAACACAACACTACCTCATTATTTGTGACTTTTTGTGTTGCAGTGATAATGGAGGCAGATAAGCTAGAGCTCCGGAATTTGATCAAAATGATGGTGAAGAAGGACAAGCTGATCGAGTCCGATGTGTTGGAGAAATACGTCCTGATTCAAGCTCTGGTGGATCAGAAAGTAAAACGGGCTTCCGAACTCGTAAAGCTCTGCGAGTGAGTGTTACAACCAATTGCTACTTATTATTGACACCTATTTTTAAGCCGTTTTAAACATAATCAACCACAGAGGAAACCTTTTTAATCTTTGAGGCCCAAATTGGACGGATTGACAGGGGAAACAACTAAAAACTTCAGAATATGAAGGCAGCAAAAACATTTAACACATTTAAATGTGTTCTTAAAATAAAAGACCTCATATTCCAAATTGTTGTAATAAAGAGTGTTTCAAATTCATCCATCCATTCTAAAAACTGCCTATCCTGGACAGATTTTTGGGACAAAGTAATGTTTTAAAAAAATAATATTTTTTTTATTAAAAGTACTGTCCCTTCTGAGTATTTGAAGTACAGTCAATTTATGTTCTTTGCTTGATTCGTGTTGTTAATGTGTTCAGGTCTGTGTTGGCATGTGAAGCCGTTGTCAGGAATCAATACACCTTGCTGGGGTGGGAATACACAGACTCTGATTCTGAGGATAATGCAACAAGCTGTGGTAAGATGCAAATTGTTTGTTAAATGAAAACATTCATGCAGGATTTGTCTCTTTTTAATTGTGAATTGCTTCACCAATAAACTGGCTTATTTTAGTTTGTTTGACCAGTGATTTTTTAAAATACTTTGTAGGAACATCATCAACGCTGGAGAGCAGTGCAACACTTTATGGAGGAAATTCCAAAAAACCCTCCATCAGGAAAGAACTAGTGGTGGTCTTGACCAGACTTTCTGAAAATCAGATGAAAACGTTTTGTCCTCCTACGCCTCTGGATGACCACAGTGAAAATGAATCCTCCAACAACTCGGATTGTGATGAGCTGTGGGAACCAAAACAGAAGTCCGATGATTCCGATTCTTCATTCTCAAGTAACAAGACTGCTTCGAAAAGGAGAAGAAAAGGAGATCATAAGAACCAGAAACGTTTTCAAAGTCAAATCAAATCACAACATGGCAGAATTACCGTAGCTACGAGCAACGAAGGGAAGATATCAACACCCCAAGCAAGTGCCAATACCGACGATAAGAGTGCAGTAATGAACACATCAACACGACCAGCAAAACCCGAAGGTAATGGACACAAAAACATTAAAATCCCTACGACGGAGGACGTTGCGATCATTGAATAACTTTGAATGCTAATAAATTCCTTGTCATATTGATCCTGTCATGGAAAAAACATAACAAATAAATACATATTTACATAGCATGTGATTTATGTACATATTTTCAGCTGACCCTCTAACATTAGGCATGGTTGTTTTAAGGGGGAACTAATATTTTACTTTTAAAGTGAAGTATGAGATAAAGAAACACCTAAACAATGACCATTCAGTTTGCTGATCCATCTTCTTTTTGCAATTGAATTGGGTGACACTTAACTCTTATTGGCCCAATCGCAGTCACCTGAATTAATAATGCACACCATAAACATCTATTTTATAGATGGTAGATATTGAGACATAATTTATAAGATGCAACATTTATTCTCTTTTTAAAAAATGATATGGGCAACTATAAATTAACTTATGCCCTATTATGTTTCTTTTCCACTGACAGGAGCAAGCCCAGAACAGAACTGTGTTGTTCCTTGTCAAAAGTCTGAAGAAGTTACCGAGACTGCTCCCAGCGCGCCACTAGGAGCGATCAAGGTTACCATGAGTGTCCTGGCGAGAAGGAAGGCCATGAGCTGGCGTCGGGGAATAATTCTCGAGATGATGGAAAGGGGTAAGAAAAAAAGGAATCTGTCAGGCACAAAAATAAACACACACATTCTTCATTTTGACAGGTATTTGTCTTTTTCGGGGGCTTTAATCATGTTTGTCAGTGATTATGTAGTAAACATACATAACCCTTCCTAGAGGCAGGGTTAACTTGTACAGCACATTTCAGGAATTAAAAAGTGCTTTATATAAAACAAGCTCAACATATCATAATACAGGAGTACAAGAAAATGTTATGTGTAATAATAAATTAATAGGTATCTGATTTGATAAAAGGGCTTAGGCAAACGAGTAAGCCTTCAGCCATGACCCATCCCAGACACACTGGATGGTTCATAATGAGGCAGAAGATCAGAAATGTATTTAGGCACTTAACTAACCAGGGATTTATAACCAACAGTAGTATTTTTATAAAATATATATATTATACACACAATTATTTGACAGACAAAGCCAAGTAAAAGACCTCATAGTGGGAAGAGAAACGGGGTAGGCTAGCCCACTTTTAATCTTATCACAGTGTTATCTCTTTCATAAAAAGGGAGGTTAACTAACCATCCCACACGAAAACAGGAGACAGTTTCATAGATATAAAATTCAGAGGGGAAATGTACTGCAAGACCATGGTAGGAGTTCATTGCAGGGTCCCAACATTCTCAGAGTGCACAGTTCATACAAGGGTGGTTAAATGAGAATACATTTAATAAATTGCTATAACGGGCTGATTCTAAATTGTCTTAATGTGGCTGTTGAAATTCAGGTCTGAGAATACGTCAGTAGAGGGACATTTACCACATGTTAAAAACAACAGTTAAATCATGTAAAATAAAAGTATTAGAGCAGTGTAATACAAGTTTAAGCAATCCATTCTCATGTCCAGTACATATGGGAAAAGTACATGTATTAACTAAAGTATTGCTCATTAAGCCATTTCTGCAAAATCTTCAAGGCTTTTTAGGTAACCAGTATCATTCCATATCACTAAATAGTGTTTTATACAGTTTGTAAGTAGTCTCATATAACCTGTGACCAAGGCCATGTCCACACTAATACAAATAAAATTGAGTTACATTTTATCACTGAGTTGTCCCCCAAAATCAGACGGTTGGCATTGATGGCACCACATGGTCATAATCTGTCCCGAATATGTGAAAACTGGAGACAACCGACTTGTAAATTCCAGCTTAGATGTTAAAATAGTTGTAATGCTTACTGTAAGGATATAGTTGTAGGCCCATAATGAGCAGCCCAATAACAACCTAGATGAGGCGAAATGTAGATCACAAATTAGTTTTGCAGATTGCTGACATTGTCTAAAGAGGTTTTTTGCTTTTAATAAGTAATATAGAATAAATAGTATTTATAATTTTTGCTTTCTTTTTTTCGCAGACGATGGACGGATGAAATACAAGATCCAATTTGAGAGCAAGGGGAAGAGCCTCGTCTCCGGCCACCACATCGCCTTTGACTACATGCCAAAAGTGGACAGTCTGTTGGTCGGCACTCGTGTTGTGGTCAAGCATCAGACTGAAGAGGGCCAGTTCTGCCCGGGGACCCTGGCAGAACTCCCAAGCAGGAAAAACCGCATGAGGTTCGTGTGTAATGGAATACCTTCGAGGATCAAGTTAAACTTATACCCTTAAGCTACACTATTTCTCACATATCACAGGTCTTTTTTTTCCATCGTTGAAATGTGTTTCACTTTGATCCTCAATTTGTTCCCAATGACTTCATATCATTGTTAACCAGTATGTATAATTCTGGAGAAAAGGTCAACTCAGCCATTTAAAAAAAAAAAACCTTCTTTACAAAACGGAACACTTCTAAAAACAGAAGTGGCATTTATCATATTTTTTTTATGGCTGTCAAAGTTAATGCGTTAACGTCACTTCTTTAAACGCCACTCGTTTTTTTTTTATGTGCGCGTTCTGTGACCTTGGGACCGCTCCGTAGTTTGAAAGCTGCATGTTCAGCCCTGCCAGGTGGTTTTCTCGACAGGACCAAAGTAATATGTACCTATTGTCAATGGGAATTAAGTAACGACCGGAGTAGGTCAAATTTAAAAATATCACTTTCTGGCCAGGCATAGTGCTGATTCACAGAGATGCACCCCTCCGCCTCGCAAGCAGACCACTCTGGATAGTTTTTGAAGGAGCCGAGTGGACATCATAACTGGTCTAACTGCACTATAGAGGCTGAGTCCTGGTTCTGTGGTACACTCTCACAAGCACACTTTATGTATTGTTTGTTTTGTATCAGCCTGTTTTGAGATGTTGCCCCCATGTGAGGATAGACACAATTACATTGTGTGAGATTATATGTTTTACGTTTGAAGGATCCAATGATGATTTAAGCTGCTTAAAAAAAAAAACAGGGGATGTTTAGTCAACCTTGACAAGTGTTAAGTTTTAAACTACATGTATTACTATCCAATGTTATATTCAATATGCCCATCTGTTTAATGTGGGGATTCAGTTTGCCTAATTTTAGAGCATACAGCACCTTTGGGGTTATTCTGGAGAATATTTATCTTCAATAAACAGACATTTCTTATAAAGCAATCATATTTGTCCACTCCTATGTTGATAAGAATATCAAAAACATGTAAAATAAATAAGGCTAATTTAGAATAGATAAATGTACAAATAATTTGTGACTAATCGCCAGTTTACTTTGGAAAATCAATCCACAACAGCCCTATATTTCTTATGATAAAATGAGGATGCATTAGCCAAAGTATTGTGTGATGAAAATCATGTATTTGTTTTCCAGGTTCCTGGTCTTTATGGATGATCACACGCCGCTCTATGTGAACTTACCTAGCCTTCACCTGGTGTGCAGACCATGTAAGTTTGTCTCATTCATTCACATCAACAGATTTGAAGATTACGAGCACAAGTTGGTCTGATCTGAGTCCAGTTTGAGAGCCGTTTGCTGCCTCACTCTGGTTTAGACATTTTTTTTTTCGCTCTGCTCTATTCAAGTGTACCGGTAATCACCTGGGGCCTCATTTATAACGCCTTGCCTAGGATTGACGTTGCTTACGTAGGACAAAGCAAATAAATACGCACCGACACTTCCCGATTCATAAAAGACTGCGTACCGGCAAAGGACTTGCGTACGGCACATCCTACACCGGTTTCCCTTTATAAATCACAATCAACTCGAAATGCGGCGCAGCTTTTGCGGGCTTCACGTAACACTATATTTGCCTGTCAATAGTCAAAGAAACGCCCATTCATTAATTCATTTTTGACTGACTGCATGAAGAAGATCGCAGGAAATGACGACAGAACAGCTAAAAAAGACATCTCACACCGTGTCAGATTTTGGTTATTTTGGGGAGGTGGAGATAAATCATATTGTTTGGTGGATGCAGTTTGAACCAGAGTAGCAGCATGGAGGTCGGATCGTCACCAAAATAAATAAGTGGTCCGAAAAAGGTTAATGACAAAATAAATACACAGCCTTCCTCAGGCAGTGTGTTTGTACCGGGGACAGGAGACCCCCCCTTGATGAGAAATTGTAAGAAATGATCGGGGAATCCCTCCGGAGTGGAGTCATGACGACTGGATCTGAATTATGTTTTCGTATTTGGTGGTTTGTGTCCCAGCTGTTGATCAGCTGTGCGCAGCGTCTCTATATCCACCAGTTAAAGGAAATACAACTAATGTGTTGTTATATTAGCTGTACAATTTACCACATATGGTGTTCTTAGTTTCCATACCTCCTGTGTTTTATGAGCGACTTATCAAGTCTTGGCAAACGGCATAAAACACGATTAAACGTGATAGTATATAAAACCTATAGAAATGCAAAACGGCATCAGTTTAAAGTAATTCCGTCCTGTTTACCGCATCATATGAGAATACATTTCTTAACAAGAAAACATATTCGAGGGGTGATCAATAACATTTCCGTATTTATTTCTCCAAGTTATGTTTTTGTGTGCACTGAGGAGTCTCAAACAGGTGTTTGTTAAATCATTTTAAGATTGGCTTTAATCAATGTTTGAAAATGAATTCTTCATATATGATAAATGAGAGGTAACTTTCTATTTATGGTATTATTTCCACATTTCTCTCCATTCTTCCTTCTGCCAACGGTGTCGCAGTTTCTCGTCTCCCGTTTGTGCTTAGTGCGTACGCATGGGTTAGAGTTTGCGTGGAGGACCGCACGTTTTCCCGTCAAGTTAGTATTTTATAAATCGCAAACATTGCGTAGAAACTGGCGTACGCCATTTTTTTAGCGTATATCCCTTTATAAATGAGGCCCCTGAAACTGAAGCAGATAAATGGAATTCAGCCATACGCAATAATTAACCCAAAAATGTTGTCCGTTAAAAACATGTTACCTCTGGAAATATGCGAATAACAATAACTGCATAAGATTCCTGACAACAATGCATGTGCAGCAGTTATTTCTCAACAACTTACCCACTTATTTGGCATCTGTTGCCATCAGCAAGTAGGTTAGCCTGCCTTAATGCTAAACTACGGAGCAGCATTATGATACATTTAACTGATGACCCTCTATGGCAGGGGTGTCCAAACTATGGCCCGGGGGCCAAATGCGGCCTATTTTGAATCGGCCCTCAGCAAATTAAAAAAGTATAATGAATTATGGCCCACAAATTAAACATCTGCTATTGTGCTTCTTAAATATAATGTTCAAAAATATATAACAGTATTAATGTGTTAAATAAATTCAGTGAATTAAAGTTGAAACATTTTTCTAACAAATCTTAGTTCATAAGAAAAAAAGCCCAATAACACATTTACATAACAACCTTAAAATATACCCTTCATATTTCCTCTTATAAGCAATCTGAGTCTCCTGTTTTAAGGAATGAACTGCCAACACAATAAATGAAACCCTACGGAGAGCTGTGTTTTTTCATCAATATCAACCACAATTTACCTACATTTGATTGATTTTTCTAACTTAAAACTAAGAGGTAATATACCTCTAGTGAGCGGCCCAGCCCTTCGTATATTTTTCTGTATGTGGCCCTCGGTGAAAAAAGTGTGGACACCCCTGCTCTATGGAGTTAGAGCTTCAAATTTGACACCTGTCAAACATCTGTTCACGGTACCTACAACTACTCTGTCTGTTTTTCCTGTGACAGTGACGGACCCCTTGGACGATATTCCAGATGTCAGCCACAAGAGCTTCATGCAGCGGTATTTAAAGGCCTGGCCTTACCCGCCCCAGACACAGTACCGGGTTGGACAGGCTATAAATGCAGAATTAAATGGAGTAATACAGAGGTGTACGGTGCAGACGATCGACTCCAGCTTGTTTAAAGTTCTCGTTTTGGTCAGTATTTGTGAACATCTTTCTTAAAACTATTTCCAACAGTATTCTTGGTTTATTCTCCCCTGCAATATGTATTTAGATTGCTTGACTCAGTCGTTTTTGTGTCATCAATCATAGGCGGATCAACATGAGGAATGGATCTACCGAGGCTCCTCATGCTTGGAACACATCATCAAAATGAATCCATCTTCTGGAGTCGCTGGTAAATTTGTTTCTTAACCTAAATAAAATTATTCAAGTTAATCCTGAGACCTATTTTATCTCATGCATTTATATGTCTTGTATTCTCCAGAATCATCAAAGGCAGCACCCTGATGGAACATTGATGTGTAAAGAGAGCCGTGTGCTCTCAAGATGGCGGCCCCTTCATTTAGTGAAAGGTGCTCTACAAGGATACGCTGGAACGTTTTTCAATCCGCATTTAAGTTACCTTCCAGCTGGAAGGGCCGATTGAGAGCTATAAAGATTATAGTAAAGTTCCAGAAGGGCTTACAGTATTAGACATCTGATTCATTGCCCTTGACCTGGTCAATGCCCATGCTGTTCATGTGAACAATGTCTGGAGATCATTCTTCCGACATGCCCGATATATTTGATGCATATCAGAGAATGTCTGTTTTCCTGGGGAATGCGATGGGCCTTGCATATGTTTCTGAAGATTTAGACCATTTATAATAAATGTATTTTAGTTTTTGTGTGATAAGTTAATAAAAACGATATGTTCATTTCCATCAACCTTTGTAATGGCAATTTTATTATTCCAATGTCCTATATCCTTTTGCCATTACTTCACAGGAGGTTGAGTGATCCTGACGCAGACACAAACAGATGAATTTCCGGTCTTTTGCTGCAGTTTAGAATGATGTTTATTGCTTTACATACCAAGGTTTAAGTATGCAGTGTCAAAGGGTTGTGGTATGCGCATCTGCCGGCTGTCTGGCTGGTAGAATCGGTATGCTCTTCCTCCTGTGTCCTCGTCCTCTCCTGTCACCTATGACCCCTTTTATACACCCGGTGCAGCTAAACCCCGCCACTAAGTGTTCAAAGATAATATTGCACTATACATATAAATAAGGTAAACTGAGACACCAACAACACCCATAAAATGGCTCCTACACACCAATAATAAAGGAGCTATGTAAAATACAAAGTGTGTTCTATGTGTTGGTATGATTATTCAGTTTTCTTCTCCCTTATTTTAAGGGTAACCAGTCTTTGTGGTACTTATGTCTCAGCTTCCTGGCGCATACATATCTTCGTTATTGGTTATTCTGAGGTTTCTTCAGGTCAGTCCACTCTGAATGTTTTCAGATTTTTTGCATTTACGATGTCTGGGATCTCATACTGCTCTCGCTCCATGGTCTGTTTGACGGCAGCTTCCCTGACGCCATGGAGACGACCATGTCGACCTTTGATGCCGTTCATCAGCTCAAGTTCAGGTTTAAACCTATCAACGATGTCACAGGTATCCTTTTGGTGACCGCCGTCTTTTCTGGATCCAAATGTTCCTGAAACCACAACGGCTTCTCACCGATGCAGCTCCGACGTGTTGCTTTGTCTTTATTCTGTCTCTTCCTTTTTCAGTCTGATTTCTTCTCGTGCCACGTAAGCAGCTTTCCGGCTGTATGGGTGACAAACCTTCTCCGGAGCCTTCAGCATTTTGTCTGTTTGAAAACACGTGTGGGTGCTGCCGTTAGAATCTCTGCTGTCGTTGCTTCCTCTTAGGGGACCATAGAAGACCCACCCCAGTAGGGTCTTCATAGCATACGGTCCTTCTCCTTGGCTATTGACCAGCTCCCACGGTTACAATACCTATAGAATTTGTCCCGATGAGTAGGTCAATGCCAGAGTCAATTTCATGAATTTTGATGTTCTTTAAGTAAGGCCATTTTTCAAGATCTTCTTGTACAGGAATATTGTGTTTGTTAACAGACATGGTCTTGTGTGAAAACATCAGATAGTTTAAGGAAATTGTCTTTGTCCAGACTATATATTTCCAAACCTAAGATATGATGACTAGACACAATTTTTTCTTGATTGTATTGTCTTTAAGAGAATGTTAGTCCTTTGTCCTGTAAGGTTTAGCCTCATTAAACGTTCTGTGCAAAAGGTAGATGAACTTCCAGGGTCCAAAAAGGCATACGTTTGCAACACTTTGTCCCCCTTGTGGTTCTTTACTTGAACTGGGATGGAGAAAATGGGATGATCATCTCCTGCCCCAATATGACCACATATTTGAGGTGAGACAACAGTATTACCTCCAGTTGGTTTCCCATTCTATTCTGTGTGTTCTGCTTCCTTTCTTTTGCCCTTTTGTTCAATGTGGAGTATTTCAGGATGATTTTGGCTGCACACATAACATGTCAAACGACGGTGGCAGTGTTTGCTCATGTGACCTATTTTTAGGCATCCAAAACATACTCCCTTTTCCTGTGTGTTTTCTTCAGGATGTGTGGACACTGCCCCAATGAGTGACCACTTCTGCTGCAGAACAAACACAAATGTAGGGATTTGGTGGTTGATGCAGGTATCTTCAGTCCATTTATGGTTGTATTTTCTAGCACTGGTGTTCTTGGGCAGGTAACAGTTGTTTCAAAACTGCTTACTCTTGACAAGGTAGAGGTTTTGAAAGTTGTAGATGGTTTATCATCTTGGATGTTTCCAAACAGAGGATCTGACAGTATCTTCACTTGTCTCTCCATGGAGTCGACAAGGTCAGGAAATGTAGCTCGATGCCCCCGCCCTTCCTGTAGCTGACATGCTCTATTCCTCCACTTGTCTCTGAGTTTGTAGGGTAGTTTCTGAAGTATGTTTTTCACGTTTGAAACAACATTCATTTCATCCATAGGTGAGATGTTCCATTGCAACAACCTCTTAGGAACAAAGAGAAGGCTTGCAGTGCTTCCACATCGTCGGTTTTGATCATTGTCCAGGTAAATGCTTTGTTCATGTATGCAGTGGCAATCTTGTGCTCATTACCAAAGTGTTCCTCAAGCAGCTGTTTTGCCCTTTGATAGCCTTGAGCTGGAGGCAGATGTTGGCAGCTGCACACTAGGTCCTTTGGTTGTCCTCTGGTGTATTGCTCTAGGTAATGCAGGCAGTCACTTTCATCATCAGTTTTCCATTCTACTCCTCTTTCAAATGCACAGATGAAGGCTTCAAACTGCAATGGGTCACTATCATAAACAGGAATGTCTCTTGGTGGTAAAGTAGAAGTAAGATGTTGTTGAGCCAGCATAGCAGTGATGTCATTTTGCCTCTGGATTAAGTTATAGATGTCACCTTGATTACAGGTGGTGTGATGTCAACATGTCCCTGTTGTGTCTGTATATTTTGTCCGGGAATAGAGGTTTGGGCTTGATGAGGTGAGAATTCAGTTGCATGTAGATTAAATCTTGCTGTAGGGTTTCTGAAGTAAGAGTTCATCCCATCTGATGCTCTAGAGGTGTGTCTCAATCCCATGCTGAGCACATTTATCCTGGCATTTGCTGCTGCCAGTTCAGTTTGTAAATCCAATTGTTCCTTCTTTCGTTTCAACCGTTCCCCTTGTACATCAAGTTCATGTTGAATGTTCAGTGCTGCAGCCCTTTCGATTAAAGCAGCTCTTTCTGCCTGAGCTTTAATTTGAGCAGAGGATGTGTAGATGATGCATGTGGTCACCTTCTTAAACTAATGGCCTAAGTCATATTTGAAAGTTTTTCAAAAAACTGAACCGAATATGATATTAATTATTTCACACAAAGGTTATGACAATTAACGTACAAATAACACTGTCAATTGTGTAAAATAAGAGGATTAGATTACTTAGGCCAATTTACGAACATGTTGTTGTGACTAATACCTCATTCACACCAACGCAACTCCGGTTCAAGAACCGTACTAGAGCTTTTCAGGTTCCGAACCAGTTCTTCGGTTTAGCTCTGGCTCTTTTCACACCGCCCAGAGTCCGACTGGTAATGCATCGTTGCGTCATCGTTTGCGTCATGATGTAACCGTTTGCGTGCCTGCTTTATAAAGCCAAACCGCGCGGATGAAATCATTTGCATTCATTTCTTATGTCTCTATCTGCAGCTTTTCCGGAGTCATTTGTAGTTTAGTTATATTCTTATAAAAAAAGTGGACTCGTGTCAATAAAGGTTTTTTTTTTAAAACACAACTGCTTCCGAGGTCGGTCTTATTTCTTAAGGTGGACTGAACCATGAGTGTGGAGTAACGTTGTATCTTTCATTTAAATTAACTGTAACCTTCACCCAGAGGCCTCTACTACGAAGCTGGTTCAACCTAACCTGGATATGTTTGAGTTAGCCGGTTGGCCTAATCCAAAACATACGCGCTCTCGCTAAACGGTACTATGACGTGGGTTATCAAGTGGATCGCTCAAGCCAGCCGTGTCCTATCTAGTTAGGTGCGCGTTCACATAAAAGGGGTGGTATTTGGAGCATTCGACCAATCACAAACATGGAGAAGCATACTGACAGCGCAGCGTCATACTTCCTGAATGAAAAGTCAACTATAATATATATTAGACATATGAAGAAGTTAAACTTTCATGACTTAAACACTTGATCCAGGATCAAAGCCACATAGCTGCACCTGCAAGGTGAATACAGCTGGTAAAAGAAAAAGTGTTTGAATGCGTACATTAACAGGTTTATGATATCACTGCGCCGTCTAAAACACGAGTGGATCTGACTTTAATTACATTTGTCTCGAGTGTTTCGTCAACTTAATGTGTTGCTTAAAATAATACTTCTGCATACACTATGTGACACTGAGTGTTACACGGCCAGATACGGCTCAGCTGACTCAGATCAGGAGATATGATACATTATGAAGTGATATGCCACGGACTGTACTTAATGTTACTCTGATCCGGTTACTTATGTTGTGGCAGATATTAAGTAAGCTTTCTTAACGCTAATGTTATAATAGTCAGATTGCTCTGAAGATGGAGGTGATATTCTATTCATGTTCACGTTCACACAGTCGGTGATTTTTGCCGGCCGTCTTTCCTGCGACGGCAGCTTTTCTGTATTTCCTTTCTCCTGTAATAAGACTTGATCGCTTTAAACTCCGCACACTGAGCTCTGATTGGTCAGCAGGCGGTGCTTTCACTGAGTTGAGCTCTTACCCCCTGATCCCACTGGAAGTGTCTGCGCTGCGACCCTCCTCCTGCGTCCTGGCCCCTACACACGGCGGCGTGCGTTGTCGCTTGCCGGCGGGAGGGGCTGGAACTCGACCAACAACCAATCACATGAATCTCCCACCTCAGACACACAAGCACGTGGTTTGATTGGCTAGAGCTTGTACTGGCATATGATTCCATTGGCTGACGCCTCCGTCGAGGCGTCAAAAGTAGAACATTGCTCTACTTTTGCAGCGAGCACCGCGAGAGAAGCTACGCTTTGCTCCCACAATGCAGTTCCGCGAATCGTGACGTCACCCCATTCAAAGTGAATAGGCAGAAGCGTTGAAGCGGCAACGAACGCCGCCGTGTGTAGGGACCGTAACCCACCAGGCGCGTTTCAAAACGTTGCGGAAGCGGAGCGTCGTGTGTGCAGCCTCGCAGTTGTTGGATGAACATTCCACTTCCTGCCTGCGCCGCGCCGCGTCAAAAATAGGATTCATCCTATATTTTAGAAATTCCTTGCGGCGAGGAGCTTCTGGGACGCTTCGAGCCGCGGCGCAGCGTGTCTGATGGAATAGCACCCATTGACTAGAGTGGCCGCGATCGC